CATGATGGAGCAAACCATGCACATTGATTGCCTTGCCGATGATTAGGCCAAGGTTCTGTAATCATCTCAATGAGCACTGTGCCGGCGGGAAAGACGAGGTGAACGGCTATAGGTGAGCGTACCTGGACGTTGTATGGCTCGCTGTTGTACAGCGACGCCATCCCGCACTCAATGAATCTCGCAAACTTGTTGGCATTCAGAAGCGCCGCGTCCAAGTGCTCGCCCCCGACGTTGTCAAAGTAAACATCCACTCCCTGCTGCTCGCGCGCAAGCACGTCCCACACCTTCTCCTTCTTATAGTTGAAAGAAACGTCCGCGCCGCACTCTGTCGCGTATGCGGCTTTCTCGTCTGATCCGGAGGATGCGATGACGCGTAGACCGTCACGCTTTGCCAGTTGTATGATAAGGGAACCGACGGTGCCAGCGGCGCTCGAGACGAACACGGTTTCGCCTGCTTTGGCTTGGCTGTACTCTTTCCAGCCCCAAAATGCGGTCTGACCTGTGCAAGTGTTGTCAGTACGCTGTCTGATATGGCAGGGGGTGGATTGACGCACCTGGCATGCCGAGCACGCTCACGTATACGGACCAAGGCAAGCCTATACCCTCAATCTTGCGGAAAGGAATAACAGCCGTCAACGGGCCATGATAAACAGAGTACTCCTCATGGTACAGCCAGCCGTGCAAGAAATCTCCCGGCTTGTACGAGTCGTCCTCCGAGCGGATCACCTTTCCTACACCATACCCAATCAATCTGTACATTGTTGGCAAAGTCAACGTATAGATCCTGATCAAGTCGGGTATATGCATACGGTTGATTGAGCTCGTACGCAGGAACGTACGCCTGGATCTTAGGGTCCAGCATCCTGCCGCCGTGCATCCTCATGCGCATGGAAGGGTCGATGCCCAGGCAAAGCGTCTTGACGAGGAAACCGCCATTCAGCTTCACGGTGTCGAGGTCGATGATACACGAGTCGTCGTACTTGACATGCACACCCGGCTCGATATGCTCTGCTCACAAAACCGACGTTGGAATTAGCTGAGACACACGCGCGAGGTAACAGAAACATGCCTGTCGGGGTTGCAGCGTAGTACGTGCGGGCATTGCGGATCGGCGCCATTTTGCGTGAAGTGCACAAAAAGGAAGTGGATGATAGCGATGGATACGAGAGCCGAATAGCGCGGACTATATACCTTGTGCCCACGCCATTCATACCCTCGACGATAGCCCACGCGCGAGAGTTGGGGAGCTCGAGTGCGGAGGTGTGAGCGCGCCCTCGTCAGAAAGCACGACGAGCAAGTGCGGGGAGCAAGCGGGAAGTCAGGCTCACACGCCGGAGATACGCCAGAACCGATCATCGGTATCACCGGTATCGAGGCTTCTGTCGGCGTTAGCACTATGGAACAGAACACCATTCCGCCACCTGATTGCGTACATACAAACGACCTTGGGAACGTACGAGACATCTATACAGAGACCGTCAGATGGACCGTCGCGCCGATGCACTTGCATCATAAGTAGTGAAGATCATAGCCCTTCGCAAGGGTAAACGAAAGCCGCGCTGTTATACATTCGTCCATGCTGTTTTACTATTGTTAGATCAAACGACACCGTTCAATCGTCCGCCACGACGACTACCCGCTTCCCGACGTTCTTGCCTGATCCGACGTCGAACAAAGCCTGACCAACCGTCTCGAGCCCGTTCGAGATGTCCTCGCGGTACTTGATAGCGCCATCCTTCACGAGCTGCGGCATGGTCGCATAGAACTCGTCCGCGAGTTGATAATAGAGGACATTGTACAGGATGCCCTGCACCGTGAGCACCTTGCCGATAATCATGCCGAGGTTCTAGAGGGATGACGCTGTGAGCTACACGGTCCATAAGCGTGTTGGGTCTTACGCACCTTGACGGTGTATGTCTCCTCGCCATTATACTGTGACGCCATCCCGCACTCGATGAACCTCCCCATCCTGTTCGCGCTCGCGAGTGCCGCATCGAGATGCTCGCCACCAACGTTATCGAAGTAGACATCGATTCCCTTCTCCTCGCGCGCCAAGACGTCCCACACCTTCTCGTCTTTGTAGTTGAACGAGACGTCCGCACCGCACTCCTTAGCGAAGGCAACTTTCTCGGCGGACCCTGACGACGCAACGACGCGTAGACCATCACGCTTCGCGAGTTGTACGACGAGAGAACCGACGGCGCCTGCCGCAGTCGAAACGAAAGCGGTTTCACCGGCTTTGGCTTTGCTGTAGAGCTTCCAACCGTAGTACGCGGTCTGACCTGGTATACAACATCGTAAGAATGGACGTATATGAAGAAGGGTGCAAACATACCTGGCATGCCGAGTACACTCGTGTACGCGGACCAAGGCAAACCGATGTTCTCAATCTTGCGGAAGGGGACGAAAGGCGTCAACGGGCCCTTGTATACCGAGTACTCCTCGTGGAACACCCAACCATGCAGAACATCGCCAGGCTTGTACGAGTCGTCCTCAGAGCGGATTACCTTGCCGAGGCCGTAGCCATACAAACTGAGTGATGAATCAGGAGTCAGCACTGCACAAAAGTAGCAGAAAGCTCTGCGAGCGCGTACGCTTGACCGAGATCAAAAGGAGCAGAGTACGATTTGATCTTGGGATCGCGCATCCGGCCGCGCATGTAAGGGTCGATGCTCAAGACGAGCGTCTTGAGCAGGAAACCGCCATTGAGCTCGACGGTATCGACGTCAATAGTCTTCGACTCGTCGTACTTGACGTGCACATCCGGCTCAATGTACCCTGTGCACGAGGAATAAAAAGTTCAGATCAGCTGTGGCACAAACGTTCAGTCGAGCGCACACACCTGTCGGGGTGGCAGCGTAGTACGCGCGGGCGTTGCGGATCGGTGCCATGGTCGATTAATATGGGAGCAGAAGGACAGAAGGGTGGAAAAAAGCGGCCATCGAGCATGCCGTGCTTTATGGTCTCCAAGAGGCAAGCCGAGTCTTCAGACTCCGAGGCGGGAATGTGGGGTAGACGGCACGGGAACACAATTCACACAAATCCCGACAAGTATCGGAGGAGGGCGGCTATTCGAGCTTGCCGGTGCCGGTACTCGATGTTCAACCGGCCTGCGACTATTCGTGCGAGACGATGCATGAAGTTCTAGTAAACAGGTACATGTGTGCAAGGATGGTGATCGAGACCGAAAAGCAAGGTCAAGCGTGGGTTCAGATTGATAGGAGGTTGAGAGATTGATATTACTCATGGTAACCTATAAGCTGTACATAATCATCCCTGGTAGTATATCGGCTAGTACACCCGCTTGTCATTGCAGATATCTGTACGCGGGAAAGCGGGGTTCGACTCCCCGCTAAGGAGCTCGGATCCATACGAAAAATGTTTTTTTTTTCTAAATCTTCGCGAGAAATCTCATAAACTTAGCTTTTGCATGCATAGGACGTGGCTCCAAGCAGAACGTGCATCTGACGGTGCATACTGACGGCAATAGGTCATCAACAAGAGACGCCTCACACGTCCCTCCTCATGAAGTAAGGACGATAAACTTTCTCCTGTACATTTGCACTAGTAGCACTACGCCATTCTGATAACAACATATAAGGGCATTATACTAACCATACCGAGGGGAGCTATGTACTAAGGTTCGGGTATCATGTCAAGTCGGTATAGGACACAAGTATCAAGGTGAGAAGTCAGGAAACGAGAAGCTGCAGTCATCAAATCAGTCAGAGAACATATGGGCACTCATAAGTTGAACGGGTAGTCAGAGCGCAGTTTCAAGAGAGGCGTCACCTTCTCAGGAGAAACGAAGACGACACCGAGCCGAATGACATCGTTGATTTTGATGCAATCCACACCCGCGCCGAACTTCCACCGCGGGGCTTTCCATTGCACCATTGTTGCGTTCTCTTGGTCAGCTTTCTGCGAAATGACGGTGAATAGGGCTTATGCTACAAGGGAGAACAGCTACTCACCTCTATGAAGTTGCGGACCTTCGTCGCTACAAGACGCGCGAGGTGCCTTGCTGAAACTGTTGCGTTGGCGCGGCAACGCAACTGTATCTGGCGTTCATCCGTTGGGTAGTTATGCAACTACTTAAACCAGTGAGATATATGTACAAACACAAGGTAAGAATGGCTACGCACGCTAAGAGTGGCCTTGAGCGATTTCGCTGAGATGCGCGTAGGGGCCTCTGGGATAGTGTCGTAGTCGGCGTCTACAACGACACGCATGCCCACGCCACCACCAGACCGCCTAAAGAATATTGGCATCATGTCAGTGTGCTGAAGAGTGATTTCACTCCGTTTTGTGTCCTCGTCAGGCGTGAAGAGCCGCGAGGGCACGATGAGCCAAGGCTCGAAATCGACAAGATCCAACGCACACCACCATGGCAGTATAAGAGCGCTAACCTGATCAGCTATATGAAGGTGCAGTACACCCTGGGTGAAGGATACGATGTATAGAATAGGCGAATCAGTGATCTGTGCATAGTCGCCGGTGAACCACAGTACGAGTCTCTTCACAGTCTAGGATCGAGTCAGGCAGGATCCTGGGTGAGACCGAAAGACGGTATGTATCTGAGATAGCCTTCGAGGTCCGCCGACGCAGCTTTACGCAAGCGTGGAAGAGCAACTGAGGGTGCGCTCTTGAGCCGTCTTGCAGGATAAGAGCAGGTGGCCGCAAGTGTACAGAAGACAATCTAGGCGACTGTATGAGCATTAGAGCGCACGGGCAGGCTGGGTGTATAGTCAGCAGGGGTTTGTACTGGAGTTTCGATACATCTTGTTGTTGGTGGTGGTGGTGGTGGTGGTTCAGGTTCAACGCATGTCGTCGTTTATGGGCGTTGGCCACCATCAGCGTACGGTTGTCAGCGTGTCGTTCGCGCGCGATGAATGAAAACCGGATTTACGAACTTCGCCTACAAAAGAATAAAAGTACGGATTGGTAACCGAATAAGTTACAATGGTGGTAGTTGCAAAAACCTGACCAATCGCCGCAAGCTCCTTGGCGGGGAGTCGAACCCCGCTCTCCCGCGCACAGCAGCATTTGCAATGACAAGCGGGTGTACTAGCCGATATACTACCAGGGACTGAAAGGTATCTTTACCGTTTAGTACATAGACTCACTTGCACACTAACGCAACGGCCGCTTAAACCCGATGACGGGATCTGCGACTGTTGTGGCCCAACGCTCACGGACTCCCGCCTCTCCGTCTACCACTACACGTTGATCTTGGACTACGCGCGCCTATTGAGACAACGTTTCATTCACCGTTCTACCTAAACCCATCCTTGCGCGATGCCCGAAGTTCCAGACCGATCTCTACGTATCTGCGCCGACCGCGGCGGCACATTCTGTGACGTGCACTGCTCGTATCCCGATCCTGAGAATCCTAGCGGCGAGCGTAAAGAGATCGTGGTGAAGCTTCTGTCTCAGGATCCTGCGAACTATAAGGATGCGCCGACTGAGGGTATCAGACGGATATTGGAGCAGGTGACGGGGAAGAGTATACCTCGCGGGGAGAGGCTTGATACGTCCAAGATCGGTGTGTGTGCTCTACTTAGTTTGAAGTGCAGGGTGATTAATGGTGTATTGAACAGATTATATTAGATTGAGTACGACAGTGGCTACAAACGCCCTGTTAGAGCGCAAAGGCGAGAAACACGCGCTGCTCATTACCCGAGGCTTCAAAGACCTTCTACTCATCGGAAACCAATCTCGTCCCAAGATCTTCGACCTGAACATCCGTCGCGCGCCTCCACTCTACACCGCAGTTGTCGAAATAGACGAACGCGTCACTCTGGTGGGATACTCTAGCGATCCTAAATCCGAAGAGCATAAGGTTGTGTTCGATAAGGACGGGAAGGTTGAGAGAGGGTATAGAGGGAAAGGATGGGATGGAAAGGGTGATGCGGAAGGACCGGGAGAGATCGTGCAGGGTATATCCGGCGAGGCCGTCCGGATACTCAGGCAACCGGACGAGAGCGCCATTCGGAAAGACCTGCAGAAGTTGTACGACGACGGCTACCGCTCCATCGCCGTCGTCCTCGCGCACTCTTACACGGCCCCGCAACACGAACTTCTACTCGGAAAGCTTGCGCGCGAAGTAGGCTTCGAGCACATCTCTCTATCTTCACAACTTCTACCTATGATCAAGATGGTACCGAGAGGCGTATCCAGTACAGCCGACGCCTATCTTACGCCCATCCTGCGTCAATACCTCGATGGTTTCTTCGCCGGATTCGACTCCAAACTTCGAGACGGATCGGTGAAGAGTCCTCGTGTAGAGTTTATGGGTAGTGACGGTGGACTCGTCGATGCTGAGAGGTTCTCAGGGTTGAAGAGTATCCTAAGCGGACCGGCGGGAGGTGTCGTTGGGTATGCGTTGACGAGCTGGGACGGAGAGAAGAAGACTCCGGTCATTGGATTGGACGTGGGTGGGACGTCGACGGACGTTAGTAGGTTCGATGGGAGGTACGAGGTCGTGTACGAGACAACTACGGCTGGCGTAACGATTCAGAGTCCTCAACTGGTATGGTCGAGCATGTTACCTCGTTTCTGTATATACTTATGTTGGGGACTAGGATATCAACACCGTCGCGGCTGGCGGTGGCTCGTGTCTCGCATGGCGTAACGGTCTTTTCACCGCAGGACCCGAAAGCGCAGGCGCCCAACCCGGTCCCGCATGCTACCGGTACATTCTCTCACTTCCCCCATCCCTCTTCATACTCTAACATGACCTCTCTGTAGCAAAGGCGGTCCTCTGGCAGTAACAGACGCAAACCTTCTCCTCGGCCGTCTCATCCCAGATTACTTCCCCAAAATCTTCGGTAAAACCGAGGATCAACCTCTCGACATCGAAGCCTCTCGCTCAGCCTTCGACGAGTTAAGGAACAAGATTAACGAGGAGACGGAGAAGAGTATGGAGTTGGATGAGGTCGTTTATGGGTTTATCAAAGTTGCGAATGAGACTATGGCACGGCCGATTAGAGCGTTGACTGAGGCGAGGGGGTACGCTACGGGAAAGCATATGTAAGTGACGTGTGCCTTTCATCCTATATGACTGAAGAGCTCATTGTGCGGTAGATTGTCGAGTTTTGGTGGCGCTGGCGGTCAACATGCGTGCGAGATCGCGGCATTGTTGGGTATCAAGACGATCCTGATCCACCGGTACTCGTCCATCCTATCCGCATACGGACTGGCTCTGGCAGATCGGTACGCTCCCGTTTCAAGCTTCCATCATAGACTCTCCGTTGATATGATATATCTCAGCGCACACGAAGTCCAAGAACCCGCATCGGCGATCTACAACGCCACCTCCGCACCCCAGCTTCGTACTCGTCTCGACGCCTTATCCTCACAAGTCCAAACCGAGCTTCAAACCCAAGGCTTCGAGCCTTCTCGCATCAAGATCGACAGGATGTTGAACATGCGCTTCGACGGGACCGATACGGCGTTGATGGTCCTGCCTTCCGTCGAGAACGGCGAGGTGGACGCTGAGGGTAAGGAAGAGGACTTCGAAAAGGCGTTCAAGAGGGCGTACAAAGCCGAGTTCGGCTTCGTACTCGAAAGCAAGAACGTGGTCGTAGACGATATCAAAGTTCGCGGCACAGGCAAGACTTTCGATTCGCTAGGTCCGTCCGTGTTCGAAGAGCTCAAATCTCTCCAAACGCGTTTGGTTGGGGAGGATAAAGTCGCCAGGAGACATTCGACGTACTTTGACTTGAAGGAGGGAGGGAGGGTGGATGATACGCCTGTTTATGAGTTGGATAAGTTGGAGATTGGGGAGGAGGTTAGAGGACCGGCTGTTGTTATTGATGATACGCAGACTATTGTGGTCGTGCCGGGTGCGAGGGCGGTGGTTACGAGGAGGCATTTGGTTATTAAGTTGGGAGAGGACGGGGAATGAGTGGATGGGTTGTGTAGGAGTATGTGTATTGGTGCTTGATCTTGAGCGAACTGGAGAAAGGCTGTTGTATGTCGTATCGAACACTCAGTGTATGATTAGAAGCAAATATATGTTATACAGGGACAGTATGTCCGCGTTGCGAAGATAGAATGGTGTGAGAGCTACAACAGAGGAGTGTTTACACAGATACAGGTACAGTCGGTACATGCACACTCAGTGTGCCAATGGAAACACTAATCAAGGGCACGGCTGATACAAGCTGCAGACTACCACGAACGCGTATTCATCACACTATCCACCTCCCCAGCCAACCGCTCGACGTCCAGCCCCTCCATAGCGTACGCCATCGTCGAATTGGATACCGGCGTGAACAGGAGATCCATGGGTGACATTGTCTGGCAAACCTCCTTCTCAACTACCGCGATCGGGATACTCGCAGGCTGAAAAGCGGCCGCATCGCTTTCTGGTCCGTGTATAGATTGAAGTAGATCGTGAAAGCTTGGCAGACTGTCCGTGGCAGCTTCGGCTTGCTCGTGGGCCATACTCCGACTGAGATGCGGCGGTAATCGTGACGTGCTAAAGGTATCTTCGTGCTCGTAATGACCGCTCAAGCAATGCTCCTCAGGCTCAACATCCATCGCATGGTTCTCCGACTGATGCAAGGAGTGCAAGACCGGACTCAGAGTGCTAGGCGCTGTTCGACGCGGAGGTGAGGGTAAGGGCGTGGGATAAAAGCCTGCAGGATAAGCCGGTGACGGTACGCCAGGACTGCTTTGCGTGGTTGAAGGGCATTTCGCAGATGGGAAATGTGATGTAGCTGGGGTCATGGGACAAGAGGTAGTGCTGCATGACGTAGAAGGAGCATGGTGCCGTGCGTGTTCGGTGCGCGCTAGGCGGGGCGCATGCACTGGGTACGGCGCGGAGCGCGGTATATGTGCGATGGAGGTGGACGGATGGTGTAGAATGTGCGGAGTAGATGAAGAAGTTGAAGCCAGTGAAGGAGGTAGGATGTGATCCGAGGCCGATCCGGGGATTGGACTTGGGGGTCGAATAGGGTGTAGGTTGTTGTGCGAGAGCGCCAAATCATCGTCGACGGCTAAGTGACATCAACACAAGATCGTAGACAGGCGAACACGACGAACCGTACGTTGCCGAAAAAGATATTGCCTTGCTGGCCAGAGGGATGAAACCGGGTTGCTGCAATGGCGCAGCGCGCGCCGGAACGGGCGCAACGACACCAGCAGGGGAAAGCATATTCATGGTCGCAGTATGGGAGCTTGTGGAGGCGTCCGGAAATGTGCGCGCCGGGATAAGCGCTGTTCTTTAAGTATGCAAGTCTTTGAGGGAAGAGCGTGGGGTGCAAAGAATCGAGATCCGTTCTGAGAATGTCGGTGGCCGGGACTAGTATTGGGATCGGCCCAGTCTGGATTCTGGACCGCGAGACGTGACGAGAGTGCGCTGTATACAGTATAGGACCATGTCTCATGAAAACATGCTGTATGGACGGTAGCGTATGGTCAATACGCTTCGGAAAGACCAAGTTCGGTGAGCAAGGGGGAAGGGTACACTTCAAGCTGAGGTGTTCAGGCTGAGGGGAGAAAACCAAACAGCAGAGCTAATGTCACACAGGAGAAACGTCGCTAGCACGCAAAAGTAGTTCTCACGGAGGCACCTTCAATTCAGAGTAGCGTAGATTGGGTTCAGTATACGCTTGGGTATGCCATGGTGGTGGTAGCAAGCAGATACGTTGCAAGCAGGGCGAATCGAAGCTTCAGATTGAAGACTCAATTTGGGATGATAATATTTGATAACAACATTGACTACATCGGATATGGTGTAACGGCTAACATTGCCGCCTCTCATGAGACCGCGGCAGCTCGGGGTTCGATTCCCCGTATCCGAATACCAAGGTTGATCGACATTGTTTTTGCTTGATTTTCTTTCGTTCCCGCAACAACTGCCAATAACCACCATCATGTCCGAACCCAACTTAATCAACTCGACGATTGAGAGTCTCTGCGACCTCATCCGAGAGCTTCCTGCCCCGACTACTACTAAGAATCCTCCCAAAACCCGCCAAGTGAATAGTACTATACTTGACAAACTACGCCAGCTCGGTCGCGAGCTCAGCAGACATCTTGCCGACTCCGACACCACGTCACCACCAGCTCCCTCCCCGG